TATCTGCTTCTTATGTCGATCCTACAGAACCTGGATCACTGGGAGGAATTGCCAAATTTGCCAAAGCACACAAGATTCCTGTGTCCCAAGCCAAGAAGGAGCTGCAACAAGTACTGAGTTACACCCTGCATAAACCAAGGCGTCGACGTTTTAAAACGTTACCCACCCTGGTGTTTAAAATATACGAACAATTTGTCATGGACTTGGTGGATTTACAAAAACTAGCCAAATACAACAAAGGCTACAAATATTTACTGACGGTAATTGATGTGCTCTCAAAATTTGCCTGGGTAGAGCCGTTAAAGAGTAAAAGTGCGACAGCCATGGTGGAGGCGTTACAAAGACTATGGGCACGATTAGGAGATCGTTTGCCTGAAAAAGTGCAAACGGATTCTGGCGGTGAATTTTATAACGCTAAAGTGCAAGCCTTTTTTAAAAAACAAGGAGTGAATCATTTTTCGACCCATGGTGATCCTCACGGCTCTGTGGTGGAACGATGGAATCGAACATTGAAAACGAACATGTTTCGTTATTTTACTGCCCATAATACCTTGAACTATATTGATGTGTTACCTGCTTTAGTTAAAACGTATAATCATACGTTTCACCGTAGTATTCAAGAAAAACCTGTCAAGGTCAACTTGTCCAACGAAAAAGAAATTTGGTATCGTTTATACGGTACTAAAAAAGACATAAAAGTGAAAAAACCACAATGTCAAGTAGGCGATAAAGTGAGACTTAATAAAAAATTTCGTCCCTTTAAAAAAGGTTATTTGCCAGGCTGGACTGAAGAAGTGTTTTTAGTCAAACAAATTTATACGACAAAACCGGTGGTAACGTATAAACTCACGGAATGGGACGGGTCTCCTATAAAAGGAACGTTTTATGAAGGGGACGTGCAAAAATTGATTGTACCGGATGATACGTTATTTCGTATTGATCAAGTCTTAAAACGCAAAGGAAAACAAGTCTTTGTGTCTTGGAAGGGTTGGCCAAAAAAATACAATTCTTGGGTGTGGAAAAAAGATTTGCAAGCGTTATGAAGAGTTTTCGATTAACCTTGATCAGCGATCCAACGGAAGAACATCCCCAAAACAAAAATAATAGTTTTAAAGTTCGTTTACCAGTGCGACTCAATTTAGAAGGCAATAACTGGCAAGCCAGTTTGTGGAGTGTGTCTGTTCCCGATGTAGGACATAGTTCTGCGGTCATTCACAGTAATAGTGACACCAAGATACTCAACGATCGCTACACCATGACCAAGCGTCATGCAGTGGCCCGTGATTGGTTTATTAACTTTGAGTCCAAAGACAAAACTGTGACTTTAAAAGATGTCATGGGTAGCTCCTATCCTGTTTATTCAGGTCATCAATTATGGCAGAATATTTTGACCCATATGGAACAAACCATCATGGAAGATGTAAAGTCAGCCTTTGACACTGGGAAAACAACCAAAGGTAATACAGCCTCTGTTTTGCTGAAATCTACTTGGAAACCCACGTTTGAATGGAACGAAAACACCCTCGTGTTAAAAAAGTACCCCGTGAAGATGTGTTTGCTCGTGACAAACAACTAAACATTCACCCCCTTTCCTCTGTAGGGATACATGTGGATTTTGCAGAAAAGTTTGGTTTATTGTTCAAAGACAAAAACAACCAATACCAATTAGGACCCAATTTAGACTTTGTCTTACCCACAACCACTTATACAACAGACACTCCGCCCGTCAAAAGCAATGATAACTATCAATGGCTAGGAAAGCATTTTGCGAGCATTAGTCCATTAGATTTAGGAGGAAACTCGCTATTCAAAGTCAAACAAGAGAATGGTCAATCGTATCTGTATCTCACGCGTACTGTGGATTGGCATTTTCAAAATCTAAATGCCTTGTTTAATTCACATGTGGGAACCGTAAAACAAGCGGTCATGATTTATTGCGATGCTGTAGAATCTACCATTGTAGGAGCACAACGACATTCACTGTTAAGAAAAGTGGAATTAGAAAGAAAAGGAGAAGGGAGAGCAACCATAGAACCTTACCATCGTGAATGGATTCGAGTTCGAAATCAACACATGGAAAGCATTGAAGTTTCGTTGGCTACACCAGATGGTTCCTTGTTGGTCTTATCCCCAGGCAAAACCATCATTACCCTTGGTTTTCAACAAGTATAAAAGAGACCCTGTATTATGGAAACATCACAACTACAGCAAACAACATGTTAGGAGGATCACTGACGCGTTATCCTACCCCCACTATGTACGGGCGTGGTTTTATGCAAGAATTGGTAAAATTAGCGGGACCGAGTGTAGTTCGCTCGATTGGACACGGATTACACGCTTATGAAAAAGGGGCGTCAGCCTCCGAAGCCTTAAAAGGTTCAGGAGACGTTTTAAAAAGAGGACTCAAACGTAAAATACCCGCAGCTATTGGTCTGGCTGTGAAAAGCAAAGCCAAACAAAGCTATAAAAAGAAACGACAACGTGTTAAAGACATTTTAGGTGTGTAAAACATGCGGCGAGGACAAAAATCACAATCTCACATAAGACATCAACGATCAGTGGGTCGTTACCATTCTCCCTATCAACGCGGAGGCACTATTTTTAGACAACCTACCAACCCATGGGGATCCACTACCTATAAACCATTAGATCCAACGATTCTTCGTTCTTTAAGAAAACAAAAAGGAGGGAAAGTGCATCCAGTCATCTACCCTTGGAAAAACAAAGGACGGAAACGTATAAATAGACGACGCAGACGACGTTAAGCTATCAGTCCGTCAACATGTCGCTGAATCTGTTTGACATTCCCAACATTGACTATAGGTATGAAGCCAAACGGTGGATTCCTTTCAAACCAGCTAATACTGGAACACGTCCTATTCTTTTTACTGTACCGGCAGGGGATGATTATTATGATTTGAATGAAACCAAGCTAGAAATCAAAGTGCGTATGAACACCACAGGGACAGGAGGACTTTCCAATGATGAAACAGGGGCTTCGGATGGTAATGATACCAAATATGTCTATTGCGTCAACAATTTTGGTCATTCTCTCTTTAATCAAATGAATGTGTCTTTCAATGGAGTGTTGATGACAGAACAAAGCAATGCCTATCACCAGAAAGCTTACCTAGAAACCCTACAGAATTTTAATCGCCAAGAAGGAGAAACGACCTTGGCAGCTCAAGGATGGGTGAATGAACTCAATGTCCTTGAAGAATTAACCCCTACCAATGCAGGCACTAATGATAAACCCAACCCCAACGACTGGAGTGGAAAAACAGGCTTGAAAGCACTCACCAGTCGCTTACTCGGCAAAGCGTATCATACCTTTATCATCAAACCCCACATCGCGGTGTTCAAAACAGGCAAATGTTTGGTTCCTAACGTGCAGATTGATTTGGAATTGTATTTGAATGACAGCAACATGTTTCTGTTTGGTACCCCAGACACGACTACGACTGTCAACAAAAAGATTCCAACACTGGGAGACAATGATTTGTTTGTCACTCTGTGGATGAAAAAAGTCACTCTCAATGCCTCTGTGTATTCCAGGCTACAAAAAGAAAGAAGTTTGAGTAAAACCAAAAAAGTCCGCTACCCTGTAGTTCGAAGTGAAATCCGAACGTATTCGTTCGATGGAAACAGCACTCGTTGGTCTCAGGACAATGTCTTCTTGAACAAGGTTCCTGTCAAAGTCATTATCGGACTCATGAATTCCACGAATTACAATGGAAGTCTGAAGTATTACCCTTATGCCTATGAAAAGTTTGGTGTCACCAGAGTTCGACAACGGATTGACGGCGAAGAATACCCGTATAGAGCCTTGGAACTAACAGGCAATTCCAAAGCAGAAGATTTAGTAGGCTATGATCGCTTCCTCACAGCGTCAGGCGCTTACAAGCACCACAGGGTACCCATGCTGCTCCCAAGAGACTGGGGACAAGGCAACAATTGTACCTTGTTCATGTTTAACAATGCTCCAGGGGATGCTGATGATCCTAGCTACAGAAATCCTAAACTCACGGGGAATGTCAGTTATGAAATTGACTTCAGAGCCAATGTAGGTCACAATGTGACCGTGGTAATTTGGAGTGAGTATGAAAATGTCTATGAAATAGACCAGTGGGGAGGAATTCTTTATTCCATCAACAGCTAGGATGGAGTTCGTACTCCTCAGTGATACAGTCCTCAATTACTTAGCAGAAGACGATCGCGAATTACGACCCTATTTTCGTGGCGTGTTTCCAGCAGACCAATTACCTCCCGTGTCTAAGAAACGAGTGAATGCTTACATTGTTAACACGGATCCAGCTAGTCAACCGGGTGAACATTGGTTAGCGATTTGGACGAATTCCACTACCTGTGAAGTCTTTGACAGTTATGGGTTACCGCTATCTACCTACAAAAACCCTACCTTACAAGCTTGGTTCAACCAGTGGAAAGAAATCATTAGCAGTGATCAGTCTTTACAAGCCATGGATAGTTTTACGTGTGGGCATTATTCCCTTTTCTTTTTAAAAGCAAAAGCCAGACATGCCTCTTTTCAAGATTTTTTAGCTCAGTGGCATTTCAATAATTTAGTGTTAAATGATAGGCGAGTCGCAGACCAACTGCAACGTCTCATTAAAACAGAGCTGACAGAGTATGAGCAATCTAATGTAAACCGTTCTTCTTTTTTCATTCATTAATAAAATTGTGTGTGTTACTTCTGACTGTGTCATTTCTATCATGATACTACGGGGTGATGTTCAAAAAGTGCTCAATGCACTGTTAGAAAAAGAATGGTCTTATTGGAAAGATCACAAACAAGAATGGATCAGACTCTGTCTGGATCCCGCGGAACTGTGGGATGGGTATCATTGGTAATTTGTACGATGTTTAGTGCAAGCTAAGTTGTGGTGGGGACTTAAAAAATTATTTAAAAGGAACAGGTGAAACACATTTGAAAGATCAGATACTAATCCTCATTCAGTTGGACTCACCGCGATTGTATCAATCACTATATGGGGCGAACACGAAAACGTCGTAGAGTGCTAAAATAACGAAAAAGTCAAAAAGGGGGTGCACGATTTAGACGAAAACCACGTCTGGTGGATAAAATTGCAGAAGGTGTTGCCATGGGGTTGTCTGGTCCTTCTCCTAGTTTTATCAAATTAGGGGCCTTTATAGGAAAACAAGCGCTGAAAGGTATAAAAGATAACGTACAACATTACAGACGGCGAAAATGATTCGACAACCTGCTAGCGTGATTGTAGCGGGTCCCTCAGGTAGCGGGAAAAGTGAATTAGTGGAAAAATTACTCAAAGAAAAAACATTGTTTGACCTCCGAAAAAAGTAGTGTATTGTTATGACCGATGGCAACCCCGATTTGATCGCATGAAAAAACAAATTATTTTTTACAAAGGACTTCCTCCTGAAGGGGCTCTCGTGAAATGGTTTAAACCAGAGCATCATGGCATACTCATTTTGGATGATTTAATGGAAGAATCGGGGAGTGATAAGCGTGTGTTAGATTTATTTACAAAAGATTCTCACCATCGAGGCATTACCGCTCTTTATATTACACAAGATCTGTTTCCCCCGGGCAAGTTTGCGAAAACCATTAACCGCAATGCACACTATGTGATTTGTTTTAAATCACCCAGGGATAAGACAGGTATTCGACATTTACTGCTTCAGGTGTACCCTGAAAAATGGCGTCAAGTACTCAAATTGTTTTTAAAGCTGACCTCCCGTCCTTTTGGGTATTTTATGTTGGATTTACATCCTGCCTCAGATGACTGTTTTCGCATTTGGAGTCATTTAACCAAAGAAGAGGGAGCTACGCGTGTTCATACCTTTGACGAAGATATAAATAGCCGTTCACTCTCAAACAAACGCCAATTTAAACATGAAACGAAAAGGACACCCAAAAAGAAGAAAAGGTAAACCAGGGGTAGGAAGACAACGAGGCGGGATTGCTCCCATGTTAGCCGCAGCGATTCCAGCTTTAGCGGCTGGAGGAAAAGCGGCCGCGTTAGGAGGTTTAAGTGCATTAACAAATTTTGGTACTAGAAAAGCAATCCAAGCGTTAGAGAAAAAGAAGTATAAAAGGAAGAGACGTCAACGAACACAAAGAAAGAAATAAACATGACGGGACGTATGACCAGACAGAGTCATTTTTTAAACGATGTGTTAAAAGAAGCTAACCAAAATAAGTGGCAACAAAAATTACGGTATGCGAATGCAGATCAAATTAATGCTGTGAGTGAGTTAGTGATGAACACGTTGCGTGGGAGTGTCAAACCTGGGAGAAAAACAGTGAGTCGTTTAACACCGTATCGTCAATCTCTTCGAGTCATTGCCAACCCTCGTCAGAGTATAAAAAAGCGCAAACATTTGATGAGTTCACAGATTGGCGCTGGCGCGTGGAAAGAATTACATCGCTGTTATCACTGTGCTAAACGGCAATATCGTTATTAAGTCATGAAACGTAAAGTGTTACAACAACTTCTTTGTCTATTAGACTATTTGCTTCTACTAGCACAAATGATCAAAGAGTTTCGACAAAAAGTCAAAGAGAGATACAGACCCAAACCAATATAAGGACAAGGCTAAACTCTTATTTTCATTAGCAAACATGGACGGCATTTCATCCACACCGATTGAAAACTCAGTGCAATTTTTACGTTTGCAGATAAATATAAATCTAATCTTTTAGACGATAGCCGTTTAACCAAAACAGCAGGTTTAGCCGCGCAAAAAGAACTTTTGTTGGAGAGTCCTGCCCCGGATACATGGAAAGAACCTTGTTTAAAATCAGTCAACCGAGAATTACAACAATGGGTCAAGAAAATTCGTCAACCAGGAGGAACACGAGGAATAAGTCGCGATGAAGACGACAGTGATGATGAAAATTTAGCCGTAGGCCCGTTACAACATTTTATGGGAAATATTTCCAAAATCAGTATCCTCAGATGACTGTTTTCGCATTTGGAGTCATTTAACCAAAGAAGAGGGAGCTACGCGTGTTCATACCTTTGACGAAGATATAAATAGCCGTTCACTCTCAAACAAACGCAAATCCAAACATGAAACGAAAAGGACAACCAAAACGAAGAAAAGGTAAACTGGGGGTAGCAAGACAACGAGGAGGGATTGCTCCCCTGTTAGCCGCAGCGATTCCAGCTTTAGCAGCTGGAGGAAAAGCGGCCGCGTTAGGAGGTTTAAGTGCATTGACGACTTATGGGACTAGGAAAGCAATCCAAGTGTTAGAGAAAAAGAAGTATAAAAGGAGGAGACGCCAACCAATGAATGACCAGACGGAGTCATTTTTTAAACGATGTGTTAAAAGAAGCCAACCAAAATAAACGGCAACAAAAATTACGGTATGCGAATGCAGATCAAATTAATGCCGTGGGTGAGTTAGTGATGAACACGTTGCGTGGGAGTGTCAAACCTGGGAGAAAAACAGTGAGTCGTTTAAAACCGTATCGTCAATCTCTCCGAGTCATTGCCAACCCTCTTCAGAGTATAAAAAAATGCAAACACTTGATGAGTACACAGATAGGTGCTGGGGCGTGGAAAGAATTACATCGCTGTTATCACGGTGCTAAAAGGCAATATCGCTATTAAGTCATGCATCGTAAAGTTTTACAACGACTTCTTTGTGTATTAGACTATTTGCTTCTACTTGCACAAATGATCAAAGAGTTTCGACAAAAAGTCAAAGAGAGATGCAGACCCAAACAGATATAAAGACAATGCTTAACTCTTATTTCCATTAGCAAGCATGGACGGCATTTCATTCACACCGATTGAAAACTCAGTGCAATTTTTACGTTTGCGAGATAAATATAAATCCAATCTTTTAGACGATAGTCGTTTAACCAAAGCAGCAGGTTTAGCCCCTAAAAAAGAACTTTTGTTGGAGAGTCCTGCACCGGACACATGGAAAGAACCCCGTTTAAAATCAGTCAACCGAGAATTACAACAATGGGTCAAGAAAATTCGTCAACCAGGAGGAACGCGAGGGATAAGTCGCGATGAAGACGACAGTGATGAGGATGAAGGAAATTTAGCCGTAGGCCCATTACAGCAATTTATGGGCAATATCGCAAAAATCCAAAAAACTACAAAGAGGAAAGCGAGCCCTGTTCCTCCTCAAACACCAGTAACACCCACGGTAAAACAGTCTCCCCAGACTCCCTCCACCAGTAAAAAACCCAAGTTGACCTTTAAGAGCGAATCCAAAGCAAAGCGGTTGTTACCCAAGACACCTAAGAAAAGCACTCCTTCATCTGGTTACAAGACCCCTAAAAAGAAAAAGACTCCTTCCCCTCCTTCCAGTGTTTTTAGTACGGCGGAAGAAGAAGAAGGCTTTGCCGCTGAATCCCCTTTGGAAAAAGCTAAGGAGAGTATTAAAAAAAATTTAGCGAGGCAACAAAAAGAGCTCAAGAAAGAGTCTTAAAGAAACTTGCACCTGCTCCAGGTTGGAAACCGTTTGGGACACCAGCGAAAAGAAGATTGGATGGCAAAGACTGGTAAGCGCAAGGTTCGCAGAAAAAGACCGCAAAAGGGAAGAAAGCGGCGTATGCGCGGAGGCCAGTTGGATATACAGAAACTGATTGAAAAAACAGGCAAAGAGTTTCATTGGCCCAAAATGAGTTACCTTGGTCCAGGCACACATTTGCAGAAAAGATTACAGAGGGGGATCGCGGAAAAAATCGATTAGACGAACTCGCAAGAATTCATGACATCGATTATTCCCATGCGAAAAATTTAAAAGACAAATGGAAAGCCGACGATAAAATGATACGTTCTATAAAGAACCTCCCAGGCAAGAAAACCAAACAAGAACGGATTGTTCAAACGATTATGCAAACCAAACGCAAACTCAAGCTGTAATTCTTTCTTTTTTTATTAATTTTTAAATAAAATGTTGCTGTCACAAATTTTGTGTGTCTCTTATTCTTTCTTAAAATGCAGTCGAATCACACATTGACTTTGACTGTAAAAATTCACTTTGTTGTCATCCAGTTCTTTAAGGGTAATTTCCACTTCATCCCAATGATCTGTTTGTACTTCATGAAATTCTTCCACGGGTGGGGTAAACATAGAACGCTGCAATCCTTCGGGGGCATAATAGACTTGTCCTAAAGGTTGCGTGACTGTCTCACTATTAGCAGTCACGTTAGCTGTCATGGTAAGTGGTCTGGGGTATAGATTTAATGCGTTAACAAAGGCCGCATTGAGATGAATCAATCTGAAATCCGCCTTGCTGCTCAAATAAATTTTCTTTTTGGAAGCAGGACTACCTAGGGTTTGGAAAGACTTTTTTCTTGACTTTAAAAAACGTTTCAGAACGTTTTTACTCAAAAGTCGGTACTGCACATGCGTTCTTGACTGCAACTGCGCACTGCACAAAGGGGACACTAATTCTCTCCCACATGTCTTCCCTTCAAGGTTCCTCCACTTATATATACTTAATTTATTCAATCCTTCTAATAACAACGACCCCCCCGCCCGCCATCTTGAATTTTTGATGACTTTCTTAGAGGACACTTCGTGACTATGTCATGAAGTACTAGGTGCCTCCGGCAGGCTCCTTTAACTACTGAGTTATTTTTAGAATCGGGATAAAGTTACCTCGCGCGCTGTGTGGAGGTTTCGTGGAGGTTTCGCATGACTAAATGCCGTGCAAAACATGCCGGGCGAAAGGCAATGAAAGCTTAAAGAGATCGAGAGCATTCCTGAATATTGAAGCGAAATGAGTCGGCGCTTTCCTGGGAAAAGGGAATCGCTGGACTCTTTTACAACCCATGAAACCAGTTTAACTCGAAGTTGTCGTAACCTCAGTGCATTAATAAAATGAGAAATCTCGCCGGTCTATTGACACTGGTCGTTTGTACAATAAAGCAAGTAGGACGCCAAGTGTTATTTTTGTTGAATAATGAAAGACTAATAAAAGAATAAATATCAAACCAGAAATTACTCTCTTCGAACTGTAAATTATAAATGATCCTGAGAGAATATTAGTGTGTTAAGGATTTCCCTGCTGTACTGTTAACTCTATACAAGAGAGGAAGGGCCATTCTTTTTTAATTTCCGTTTCGCTGACACAGCTTTAGCAGAAATCTCTCTGTAGTCGTTTTCGTCAACAAGCGTCTTCCGCCATTTTGTTCTGCGTCAATTCGTGAAGGGCGCGTGGCTCTGAGCGTGGGTCATCCACGAGCAACACATTCGCGCTATGTGATTGGCTGTTATCTAACCCCCCTTAAGAGTTGTGGTGTTAAAAATAACTCTAGACGAATTACTTATGGAATAGGGTGTGTATGGGGGATGCCTTCTCTGTCCCCTTTATCCTCTCTCGTCTACGGTGATCAAGAGCCATCGTGGCTCTTAAATGTGATCGAAGATGATTACCATTTTTTGGGTGTACACAGGAGGCTATCAACTCGATGTAAGATTTGGTTCACTCTTGGGCTGTTTGCAAATTATTTATCTCTAAAATCACATAAATGTGCTCTAAAGTTAACTGAATTGTGGAATACAAGTTTATTGTTTGATTTAACATGATTATAAATTTATTAATGGGAGCCTCGCTTTTAGCCCTAGATAAATCTATTTAGTATATACTAAAACAGTGGATAGTGTTTTTCGGGCGCTCTGATTGGCTACTCAACATTGATTCACCTCCAGTTCCTCTGAGCGAGCGACGCCAAACTCGCGTAGGTTGCGAGCAAAATGCTTTCCCGGTTTGCTGCCGTAACAAACTAAGAAATTTCACAACTAATCNTTTTGGGTGTACACAGGAGGCTATCAACTCGATGTAAGATTTGGTTCACTCTTGGGCTGTTTGCAAATTATTTATCTCTAAAATCACATAAATGTGCTCTAAAGTTAACTGAATTGTGGAATACAAGTTTATTGTTTGATTTAACATGATTATAAATTTATTAATGGGAGCCTCGCTTTTAGCCCTAGATAAATCTATTTAGTATATACTAAAACAGTGGATAGTGTTTTTCGGGCGCTCTGATTGGCTACTCAACATTGATTCACCTCCAGTTCCTCTGAGCGAGCGACGCCAAACTCGCGTAGGTTGCGAGCAAAATGCTTTCCCGGTTTGCTGCCGTAACAAACTAAGAAATTTCACAACTAATCAAGCAAGCTATTTCCGAAATACATGAAGAAGGGGACGAAGTTCGGTTTGGAAGCTTTAACAGGTAAAGCTTTGTCTTTTTGACTTGAATAGTTATTGATAAAACCGGTGTAAAAGTTTTTTGTTTACAAATGCAAATTAAGCTTAAGTCTTCCGTTACTTTATTTAGTTGACTTGTTCATAAATAAGCTTAAAACTAAATTTAATAATATTTTTTACAGAATTATTTTAAATACAAACAGAATTCACAACTCCTTTAAAAGAAACTTCCCCGCAAGAGCTAAACAAACGCCTCCAAAAGTTTTATTTGTCGCTAAGAAAAAGCGACGACCGCGGCCGTTCGGTCATCGCGCGCCAAAGCTGTAATCGTTGGCAACAGTAAATGAGTTAAAAATCATCATTTTGTATTCAATTATCTCACTGTTTTAGTATATACTAAAACAATTATTCACCTCAGTGTCGGTGGCTAGTATTTACCTCGCCGCTTCGCGGCCTCGGTAAATATCCAATACTAGCCACCTCCACTTCGGTGAATAATTGCTACATATTAGATATATTTGTGATGATATTCACGCAATTCTGCAAGGAAACTGAGCGATTTTTGAAATTTTGTTACCTTTTTCCGGTTTTCGACAGTCAGACGAAACCATTGCATAATACCTATTGTCGATTATGCTTATGCTGCCAACGTGACAGAAGTCGACCAAGGATTATTAATCTTACCTTGTTAACGCTTAGAATTAAAGAGAGGGATGAAAGAAGTCTAATTAAAATTGAAAGTGTCGACAGCTGATGAACAAGTTGGGCAATTTAAACGATTACTCAAAGAACTGTAAGGCACGGCATTCGTGGAAAGCAGCTTTTTTTATTTAAATATTTTTGTTATATTAGTATTAGGCATTTTTAAAGCTGACGAATTTTGTGCCGTGGATAAATAGGGTCTCTTTGTAAACTTGAGCCTTAGTCCAAAACAATGGGAAAAGACAGCTTAACTTATTATAATCCCCAAAAATATTCCATGAATGCACCGTTCAACGGCGCTTTCGCATTAAAATCGACCCTCTAGCTTGTTATGATTTTAGGAAAAACTGCGATTTCTCCAATTTTTCGCAAGTTTTGGAGAAATCGCAAATATTTCAGGAATTGCAGTTTTTGCTGGACACCCTTGTACCTCCTGTACCACTTGACTTAATTAATTTTAGCAAAAACTGCGAATTCTCCAAATTTTCGCAATTTTTGGAACTCACCTGGATGAGCTCCAACATGGCGGACGGAAACCAACAGAAACATCTGTTACCGAGTTTTGCTACAATAGCGTGAATTTATTCTTCGAGAAACTCATAACCATTAAATTAATACTTTTTTCTAATACATGAACTGTTTAGATAGCAAACTTTCCTGAAATAAGTCATTTTTTTAACCTACATGACAGCTCTCTTGGCCGTCATGTAAATGCTGCGTCACGCAAAAGCTTAGAAATTCAAGCGTACTCTATCACAAAACCAAGAACCCTTTTGAAGCGAAAATTTGTATGAAAATTAGNTTTGAAATTTTGTTACCTTTTTCCGGTTTTCGACAGTCAGACGAAACCATTGCATAATACCTATTGTCGATTATGCTTATGCTGCCAACGTGACAGAAGTCGACCAAGGATTATTAATCTTACCTTGTTAACGCTTAGAATTAAAGAGAGGGATGAAAGAAGTCTAATTAAAATTGAAAGTGTCGACAGCTGATGAACAAGTTGGGCAATTTAAACGATTACTCAAAGAACTGTAAGGCACGGCATTCGTGGAAAGCAGCTTTTTTTATTTAAATATTTTTGTTATATTAGTATTAGGCATTTTTAAAGCTGACGAATTTTGTGCCGTGGATAAATAGGGTCTCTTTGTAAACTTGAGCCTTAGTCCAAAACAATGGGAAAAGACAGCTTAACTTATTATAATCCCCAAAAATATTCCATGAATGCACCGTTCAACGGCGCTTTCGCATTAAAATCGACCCTCTAGCTTGTTATGATTTTAGGAAAAACTGCGATTTCTCCAATTTTTCGC